CTGATATTGACACATTTGATGCATACAAAACATTTTTATTTGCTTTTATTTGCTTGGAATATAAAACACAATCATGCTTTACCTTATACTTACATTCAATTTGTGACGTACAAACATTTGTATTTGCCCATTTTGCATTCAGGCCAGTAGATGTTGCACTGTTCACATGAAGCATCAAGATATAAACCCTTTGTGGAACCACTTTGCTGAGAAAGTAAAACCTCCGACGCTGTGGGACTCACATCCAGTACCAGGCAGTTGATCTCTGCAAGCAAAGAAGATACAACAGCCCGGGAAATTTTACTCACCCAGTATTTCACTTACTGACTGTGGACTGCTCACAGAGCCAGGTTTCAGTTCACTGATGCCATGTTGGTTTCTAGGGTCTGTATATGATGACATGGGCCTGTCTCACCAGTCACCGTATGTTGGCAGTCTTTCCGTTACGACCCAGCTAGGAGAAAAGGGAAGCAACATAAAACCAGGTGTTATTGGTAAATCAAATTTACTGATTTAATTTATTGCGTAACCAGGAGGGTAAATAATTAAACAAAGATACAAACAAGGCAAGAGGATAACTGAAGTAGGGGAACAGGAGCCAACAAAGAGCCTAACTATGCGATTCTAACCAACCCAAAAACACAAGCAGCAGCACTCCTGTTCCTAATGTGTCCAACAGTCTTTTTCTAAGGGTGTGATGCACAATCAGAATTTTAAACCTAGCCCGGTCCCCAACAATCAACACCAGCATCTCAAACCAAATCACAAATTACACACAAGTGTTCACAAAGGAGATACAGAGGCGAGCTGCCTATCATGTCAGCCGCCACTAACGATGTGTGGGCCGGGCTCTTAAACTCTCTTCCTCTGATGCTCAAACGGCCGCAGCTGTGGAGAGGACTGACAGGATCATTGCTGCACCAATAGGAGAAGCCGTGGAGTTGGAGGCTCCTCCTCTCTGCTCCGACAGGGACAAGTAATCCATCAGTTAGTGTTAAAATGCCCGAGCTTTGTGCAGCAACAGGCTGTAATAAC